TTTATCTTTTCATTTCAAAATATCTTCTAAAATTATTAATTGAAAGAATCATTTTCTACCAAATTGAAATATTTGTGTTTAATTTAAGAGAATACCCCCTCCTCCCCCCCCCTCTCTCTCTCTCTCTCTCTCTCTCTCTCTTTCTTATTTCAATTATAAGTTTATCATTTTTAGCCATGATTTTTTTATGACTCTTTCTCGATAAAATATAAAGTCAAGAATCTTTGAAAACGCGAGTAGTGACAATCTAACCGACAATGCGAAACGAATACAGGCAAGGTTCGGCGACTAAAGCGCGGAGTGCAAAATTATCGAGGTATCGCCGCTACGCGATATTCGTATACAATACAGCAGGCACTGCATCGGGAGGACAATGGTCCTTTTTTCGTTCAAATGGGAACGAGGGTGAAGGGAGAGCAACGTGGCGTGCGGCGTTAAAGGGAGGACGGACGGCGCGCGTGTACGAGGTACGTGGTAACGTAAATCATACCTCGAAATAGATTCGAACGGTCGATCGTGGATTGCGATGTTGGCGTGCCATAAACGCTCGAGTACAAATCCGATTCGCTCTGAAATCTTATCTAAAGCTGAGCATTATGCTAAGCCTGGCTCACGATTACGTGCGGATTAGTACTTTCAGCGTTGTTAACGGCAACAGCAACGTTTACGAACAATCTTCACAAATACAACAATAATCTGCAGCTTTTCATATAATAATCTAAAATCTCTCATATACATATACATAAACTTTACAATAGAAGAAATTTGATATTAATTCGGAGATATAATTTCGAAATCGGAAATTTTAAGTACATTTATTAATTTAATTATCTTCCACGTGATTGTATCATATTCCGAAAACTTTTTATATTTCCGCAGATATAAATCAAACGCAGTGATTTTATTTCAATTTATTTTATTGTTATTGCACGTATAAGGTGACCAACAACGATGGCGATTTTCCAGATGATACGACCTTCGTTTAAACAAAACGCTTAATCGACGAGCGGTGCGATGAAATCGTGATCAGTACGCGCAATGCAGCAATCATTGCGCTCGCGATTCGTTTGCTAAACGAATTTGGAAAGAGGACAGACACGAGTATTGTCCGACGTTGCTCACGTTAAATACGTCGGTTTAATTACCTATTGAACGCTGTAAACGAAGTTTGGTCGTACATATGTTGACAATGGATTCGTTTACTCGAGCGCGTACATAAATCACAGCGATGTCCCGGATTATATCCATTACGATTATGAAATTTTATCACTTTTACATTATTACGAACCTTATTAACGGGGCGGAAGCTATAGTTCAGTGATATTACCATCATATGTTAGTAGATAAAATGAAAATTTCAATTTTCATTAAGTGTCACTGATTTCAATTAAAATAGGATTTTCAATTTCCTGATGGAATATCAATTATAATAGATACCAATTTTCCAACGACAACGTCCTACTCTCGTTTCACTAAGGGAAAATCCTGATTTCGATTCCGCTTTAATTACATCTACCCAACACTGATTGCCTATTATGTGCTTCTAGACGAGTCTAACAAGCTTCAAAGTTCTCTTTGCGAAGAAAGCTTTTTAGTTGCAGTATTCTCGATCTTCAATCACTGTATTTAGCATCACTATATGTTTTACAATAGCTTGCAATTTAATAAGTTACAGTACAGAAATATAATTTCGACTACAATTCAACAATTTTTTATTCATTTTTGATCCATTGGTTTTTTGAATTAAGATTCGTTGGCAAAATTATGAGAATATTCTTTGCAATTTAAACTTTTTCCAAAATAATATTATTAATATTTACTCTAAAATCATATAATTGGAACTCATTAAATCAACTTGTGAAAATCAATTTTTTTGTTTAGAGAAAGAGAAATTATTTTAACTTTAAATGTCAAAAAATTTTTAATAGAAGTCTACGAATATAAAATAATATGTTTCTAACTTGATAAGGAAACATTTTACTTTTTAATCGTTAATGTTAAAGCAAGTCAGGTATCTTATAAGAGATTTCCATAATTCGATGAATGAATAAAATATTGGCCGCGAGGGATCTTCCGGGGATTTTTCACAGCAAAGATATTCATCCTAAAATCTCTTGCGCGCGATATTCTCATTTAATTCGATCCTTTAACCATCTTCTTCGTCAGATCTAACGGATTAGTAACGATTCGAAATTCCTTATATCATGGCTGTTATATCTCGGATCTCGGTTCCAATCTACTTCCCAATCTCGCGGAACATCATTCGTTGGTACTCACTCGAATTCCAAGGCTTCTCGATTTCGTTGCCTTTGAGTTTATTGAGCGGATAGAATGTCTGTGTATGCGCTGTATCTATTTCGCGATCGCTCGAGCTGCAAAAATTTTATGTGGAAACCACCCACGAGACATGATATTCTAGTCTCTATAATAGCCCGTTTTGGAGATGAACTTTGCAGCTGGTGAGAGGCGAACAAGTATAAGAATCGATCGCATCTCAATGCGAACACAAGTAATTTTCTCGTCCTACGTATTCTTGACAATTATATTTAACGTATATATAGTTTTTATTTGCTGCAATAATTATAAAATTTAAATTAATGCTGTAGTACAATAATCAATAAAATTAAGATGAAAAATGATTGTTAAAATAAAATAATATTTAAAGAAATTCAATTCACATTTTATTCGTAACTTGTAATTTACTTCCTTTATATTATTTCTCAGCGACTGCTTTTCTATTTATGTTATGAAACTGTTATTATTTTTTAATAATTATTTTTTAAAAAATTTTTCATTTGCTTTTAAAATATTTTAAAAATATATCTTTTAGTTTACATTTTATACAAATAGCTGTTATAATTAATTCTTTTATAAATTAATACTTGATGAATAATCATATATAAGTACATTCTAAAAATTGGATAAAAAATTAGAATATAATTTTAGAGATTTATCTTCCATTTTGGTTTCATAGATATAAATTGCAAAGGAGGCAAAGAGAAAAAGGAAGTGTAAGAGTAAGAGAAGAAGAGAATGTTGCAGTTCTTATCAGTGAGGGGCAACACGTAGGTCTAATTAACTTCGCGTCGGTTCCAAGGATTTAATCCTGTGGAAAACTGTGCGCACCGGAAAGAGAAAACGTTAAGACTCTGCATCTTTCGCAATTCCGTGAAATCGTTCCCAGACAAATTGAAGATTTTCAAAGAACAGGTGAAGTGAAGATGTAGATTTTATTTTTCCGCCATCATCGTTACTCTGTCGCAATAAACAGTAAATTTTTCTAATCAGGAAATAAGATTAGATATCATGAAATCAAGATATCATACTATCATATCATGATATCACACAATCAAGATTTTCAACGAAGATGCGCTCTCTCTATTTATAACTTCTGCGCAAAGTGCAGGAAAACAAGATTAACTACAAGATTAAAATTAGATTAACTACTAAGACATTGATATCTTATTATATAAAAAAGGGAACTAGAGTATAATTAATTGTGAAAAAACGATCTCTTTATTAGAAACAGACTAAATACGTTTTACTAATACTGTTTATTCTATTTATTATAATATAATTATCGAATTATTGATAATAATTATCGAAAAATGGATAAAAGAACTTAGTTATAAAGTTGGTGTAATAATATCTTATATAATTTTGATAAATGCAATACTTTTAAAAATGAGAAAAATGTATCACAAAATTTATATTCATATAATGGCTGCAAAATTTTTATATTTTAACAATTCCACTAAATTTAGGTCGAGTATTACAACGATAAAAGAAAGGTATAATTATTTTAATTTAATTAAATTATTTTCTGAAAACAAGTGCATTATTAACATAATGCACTTGTTTTCAGAAAATAATCACTATAAGAATAATACTAACTATAAGAATAAAAATGTAATATAACAATTGTAATAATTATAAGTATTATATTACCTTGACTCTCTTTCTTGCATAATTAATTTAAACATCATCAAATAGCTTTCTAAACAAGTTAGAAAATCTTATAATATATTTCTTAATATCTTCTTCTACAAAATAAAATGCAGAAGAAAATAAAAATATAATAATTTATCTTCTTCTGCTATTGCAAATACCTACTTTTGTAGAATGGGATATCCAAAATATTTTATAAAATGGATTACTTTTATACATTGAATAGTTGGTACTTAATTAGTTTGAAAAGCAAATTGTCTCGAGAACAACATGCGTATTATTTTACTTTTAGCGAAATCAACAACTGCGAAATGCGACTAAATCATAAAATGACACTTGCTGTTCATTGACAAGTTGTTGAATCAAAGTTAAAAAAATAATTACGCAATACGTGGATTTCACGAATTTAATATTCACAGATTTGTCCAATGTCGGTTTAAACGCAAATGTGTTATTTTCGGGTGGTATGCGTTTATCAAACCGCATAATTGCATTTTCATCGCTCTTCTCTACAATTAACCATTTAATTTATCGCGACAACGAGTGAAACGTTTGAGCATGGCTATTCCGATGATGGTTACGTAAAACGGATGGACATGTTAAAGCCCGAGCAAAGGTAATTTATCGAGCACTTAGTCCCTGCAGTGACGTCATTTCTCGGAGCGTGAAAGATAATCTATCATTGTGTAGCCAGACAATCGTGGATCAGGATTTGCTTTCACGATTAAAACAGTTCATTAAGGTTGAAGTAAGACGAATTACTAGTCTATAGCACATGATCAATATATTCATCTAAAAAGATACGATGTGACGATTAATTGGATCACGGAATATTTTTTCTGCATGAATTTCCATAGATTTTTTTGTGAGAATATTATAAAATATGTAAAGAGTTTCTAGAAATGTAAGTAGAAATGTAATTTATTTCAAGAAATGTAAGCTTTAACATTAAAAAACTTTTTTGAAATATTTTAAGAATAACGTTTACGATCTTGTAACGTTTCGAAAAATAGATTTCAAAAATTTCAATATGAATTACTTATATTACTTACTTATATTTTTGTCCCTGTATTGCGGCCGTGCATCTCCGATAAAACAGACGAACAGCATCCACACTACGAACCAGCACGTTCCCATTTGGACCTGAAATAAGAAGCGATTCTGAATAGATTTAATTAAGAATTCAATGGTGCGGCATACAGCGCTTTAGTTTCTTTACGACTGCAATGTTACCACAGCTTTGTTCGCGATCTTTTATTCTTAAGTAAGGCTATCCCGATGCTACGCAGTAATAACATAAAATAAATATTATAATGAAACGAATTTAATTATGTATATATGAAATTAACAGTTTTTGAGTCCTTTTTTACTTAATATAGAATTCTTTAATTAGTTATATCAAGATCTTGGAAATATCTACTTTAATTTTCAGTTAAGGTAGAATAATATAGAACAAGATCGATATATATATATATATATATATATATGCATATAAAGCAAGTTTGTGTTCACAATAAATTTTGGTCGCTTTTGCTTACTCAGAAGGAGCAAGCAAAAGTCGTCGTTTCCTTATACGAAAACTTATCGTTTCCTCATTGCATTTCTTCCGATTCATTATTGTTCTTGCGGCGAAGTTCTTCCGTCCAAAAGGATAATCATTTTAATTTATAAAAGTTCTATTACAATTTAAAGTAATTGAAATATATGAGATGTCTTTGACGCAACAATATCGCTCAATTGTTTCGCTACTTTTAACACAATAAATCTTTGGTAATTGTATATCTTTGACAATTTTTCTATACGATTGTCATTGTGCAATTTTCATGCAATTTTAATTTTACCATTATCTACAGCAAATATATTCGGTTGCGTTCTGTAGCGTTCGAGGAGAAGATCGATGGCTGCATTCGCACATTTCTATAACTACGTTATATACGTATTTCTATGACTACGTCGGATCATCGATCCACCTCGTAATCGCTGAAGGGATAATGCTCCTCAACTGTCGAGACCGGAGACTATCCTTTGTGGCAATTGCGCGGATAATCGAAAACCGAGAGAAAGAGACACGGAGTATAGGATTCGCTGCGGTGGAGCACGGTTGAATATTTCCGGGTTTCCGGCGTGCGTGCGCGGAGATGTTATAAAATATTTCTTTGAAGATTTCAACTGTGAAGATATATATTTTATTCGACAAGCGTTTCTGCGCAGCACGTATTCGGATCTCTACGTCAATTTCCGCGAATATTATTCATGAATCGAGCGTGAAAAAGTTCCCTCTGTGTAAGATGACAACGACAACGACAATGATTGTCATGAAATTAACGAGATTTTGTTGTCATGATAATACCAGCTTCTGCGTGTATATCTTATTATTATTTTCGAAAGAATGAACGTTGTTTTCATTTCGCGATGTAATACCGGAACGTCAACTTGAAAATGTTTCTAGATGGCTAAAATCGCCCAGCAAATTGTTAAGGTAAAGATCCGAAGATATAAAAAGTATCACTGACATTAACGATCATGTTGGATTTAATAAAAATTTTCTCTATGTTTGCCTCTCATTTATATTAAGATATTTGTTAGAACATATTTTCATTTATAAAGAAAGCACGTTCGATTAATTAAAAAATGTATAGCATTAACTTTTTATTTAAGTCTAATCTATCTGTATTCTGTATATTTAATTTGAATAATTAGCGTTAACTTTCCTTAAAAATACAATAAGATCAAAGACACACGTATTGTTATTGATGTTTTCGGAAAACGTGCAGTCATTCTCGCGTTTCATCCACTCACATACATTTCGTGAAGAAGCGAGCCAGAGTGTATCCGAAGGCTAGACATCTCCTTGCCCGAACGGTGGTGGGTATCCTTTCCGAAGGCTTATCTATGGAAGGAGATGCCCTTTCCGGGGAAATTCCCGGAGGAACAACGTAAAAGTTCCTATATTCCTTCAAAAGGAAAGCATCATCTAGTACTCGAGGAGTGCAGGTCCTTCTCGACCCCAGGATCATCTCGACCAAGAGAGTACACGAATACATGTGATCTTGTGTACGCACGTACAGTCACACGCACGAAATGACACTCACACGCGAAGTGATAACTTCCACCTTCAAGGATCCTTCGAACCTTCATCGATCACTATATACCTGTCGGGGTCAACTTCTTCGTATCTCGTTTCATGGTTAGCTAGCTCGAAAATATTCCCCATCCCTTTTCATTGAAACGGAAAGAGTGATTTTAGTGCCGTCGCCGGGAAATTTAGAATCCGGAATTCTACGGAGGTAAATAAAACGTATCCTCGGGTCGCCCGGGTCATCGGATCATTGAGTTTCTGGATCCTTGGATTCGCTGATTCTAGGAATACTTGTTCTAACGTCAATAAAATATGTACATGAGAATCATTGTAATGATCAACTTCTTGAGAATGAAACGCTTCTTATCATCCAAATATATTTGTATTTAAATTATTATTAAGTTTAAATCTTCAGTTATTAAGCGTCTATTAAAACGTCTATTAAACAAGCACAGTCATTTTAGCACAATAATACGCGACATATATCACATTTTATTGCTATTTTCTGCTCCATTCCCAATTTTTTTGTTCCAGCCGATTCATTAAAACCCATAGCTGTACTAGCTTAAAACTAAAATTAGCAACAAAGAAAAAAAATAGCAAATGAAAAATCAAGTACATATTTTTGAAGGACTATGTTTTTTGCTGTATTTCTGATTTTTTTATTGTTTTGATTTAAACAATAAATTCAACCAACAGTGTAGCTATGCTTGTACAAGAGCAAAGTATATTAAAATAATTAATTTCTGAACTAAATTTGATCTTAAAATGATTCTAGAATTAATTGTTCTAAGAATGTCTCAAATTGAAATTTTTCTTTCACTGTTTAAGTAAAAAAATTCGACCAAGACCAGTGTGGCTGTGCTGGCTCGCGTACAAAAATAAAATACATTAAAGCAATTAATTGCAGGCTAATTTTGATCTTAAAATATTTCTAGAATTATATATAAAGCACATCCTCCTATCTTAAAATTGTCGTGCTACAAGTGCTCTTTTCGTTAAGACTGTTAGAGTACTTTCGAGTCTTTCAGCAAAATATAATATTAAAGATTCTCGGAGTCGCTGATTTCGAATCCGAAACTCAAATTAAAAAATTCAAAATAGCTAAATCAATATGACGGAAATATTAAAAATCTTCCGATTTCAGTAAAATGTAATATTAAAGGAATTTCGGGATTACTGATTTCAAATCAGGACTCAAAATTAAAAAATTCAAAATTGATTGAATTAATATGGTGGACGAAAATGCTAAAAATTGTTCGATTCTAGTGAAATGTAGCGTTAGGCCTGTTTTGGTTTTCGGCGACGCTGATTTCGAATTCGTATCATAAAATTCATAATGGCTGAATCAATATGGCGGAGAGAAATGCTAAAAATCTTTCGATTTAAAAAAAATGTAGTATTAAAGAATTTTCGAAAATGCTGATGCTGAGTCAGAACTTAAAATTTGAAAATAAAAAATGTAGTATTAAAAGTTTTCCAGAGCTGTTAATTTCGAATCCGGATCAAAACATTTGACAATTTTTAAATGGAATGGATTAATATAGCTAAAATGTTAAAAATCTCCGATTTCAGCGAATGTAATATTAAAGAGTTTTCGAGGATGCTAATTCCAAATTCGAACTTAAAAGAGTAATCCCAAAAAAGGAGTTGTTTTTGACCGTTTTCTTGTGAGTCTTCAATTTTTGGACTGAACTGTATGCCAAATAATAACCTACAATGAAATATTAATTACAAAGAAGTTTCAGAGGAGACATTGTTATCATAGCTGGAGAGAGGGGATGGAGGTATCACATATCTATGCGAAAATCCGTTCTCAAGAAACTTTCTTAAGAAGTGAGAAATGATGATATACACACAACATACGTATACATATTTATATTTATCCTTCGCCAGTTAAAAGCAATATTATATTAAGTTTAAGCATATTAAGTTTATTTCTAAATATTATATAAACAGCGTCTCGCGTCATGTTTTAATGCCAGACACACTACCGCCAGATAAAGATATTTATATGATACTATAAATATATGATAAATATTTATATGATTTAAATATGTATATGCGATATATATATATTTAAAATATTAAAAAATAATTATAAAAGTTTGAAATAGAAGAATTTAAAATCTATTTTAATAACAATATTGATGTATTATTACTTTCGATTCATTAAAACTTTAATAACACAACATTAATCGTAAAATATAAATTACTTAGCCCGATTTAATTCAATTGAATATCGATTTTAATTCGAATGAATATCGATTTTTTTTATGTAAAATTACTAAAAAGTCTATAATTAATATAAGTCTATAATTAATGTATTTGATATTAATTATTCTTAAATCCAAATCACAATGAAAACGAGAATTTTGCAGAGTTTAGTAACTTTGGTTAATTCAGATAAGACTAAATGCATGTGAAACAATAGCTGCGAAATAAGTAGAGAGATAAGAAACAAAGCAAAACAAAAATATGACAAGACACATCTGGTACGTTTTTAAGCTGAGCAATATTTCACAAAGGAAATAAAATTAACAAACATAAATAAAATTATGAGAATTACGATTTTTTATAGTTATTACAACAATTTTATTTGTCTAATATAATATATCATACAAGTATTAACAGCGAATAGATCTTAATTTATTTTTATAATTTTAGTAAAATTAATAAAATTTATAAAATTGTTCATATCTATTTATTTTCATTTTACTACTCTCTCTAAAATTTAACATTGAAATTTCGCAATGTAGCGAAAGACGACGAGATGTTATTTTGCGAAATAAAGTAAACAATTTGCTTGTTAATCGTAGGATTAGAAGATTATTAACAATAGCATGGCAGCAATAATCATAATAAATAGCGCTAGCTAACCCAGTGATATTGTAGTAGAACAAATATCCGGGAATGACTTTCCCGAGCTGCAAACGATATTAAAAGTTATTAATGGTCACGGCAACCTCCGTTTCGCCTTATTCCTAAGGAGAAGTGAGAATTAAAGAAGGTGTGAACAGACGGAAGGATAAAACCAGAAAGACCATACGAAGAAAAAGTTCAG